GCAGGATAGGAAAGAGTGTAGGTGCGTGTCCATTCAGTCTTAGGACGTCCTTATGATGATGATGATATGTATATAATTCTTTTACATCAACAGTAGGTATCTGTTACTTGTTTCTATTGTTAAAATTGTGGTTGGTAAGGAAAGCAGAGGTGTTGTTATTAAATAAATAGTTAGGAAATCAGTGCAACAATCTCCCTGAAAGTTAAATTTGTAAATATTTATGTTATTTCTTGTACAATACACATTTTAAGTTTTCAAAATGTTTGATTTTATTCACATTGGAGAAAACATTAATGAAAGTGGTTATTCAAAAATAGTTAATTGACTTCATCCAACAAAGCCTTTGTTGATTTTTTTTAATTCAACTAGAATCTTAAATTCGATCTTTTCTTACACCACTTAGCCATATTTCACTTTTCTGTATTTAGTCAATAGAGCATCAGATAAATTACTAAAAACGAGGATGCTTGATATTTGGAATTTCTGACAGAATTCTTATATATGATTCAATGAAAAACCTTCAAACTCCTTTAGAAGGTCTATTATGTCGCAGAAGATGCACTATTTATTTTTTCACTTTCTTAGAGTTGTATGGAAATGCTGATTAGATCCATGATGTATAGAATATAAAGGTACTCAGTGAAGCTTTGAGGAATCAGCTAATCATGTTCTTTCCTTAAAAGCCATCTATCTAGTATACGTAGTCAATCAATCGTGAACGGACCTGTTTGAAAATTTGACTTTCAATAGGCTCCTTTCCAATATCGTTTGGAAAACGATGATGCCTACTACTTAATAGCGTCTTTTGAATTCCTTCTCTCACTTATGTAATATTTACCAGCACAGTGTGTTATTTTGCCTGTCATTAATAATCCTCTTTCTTAGATGGCATGCGAAATTCGGTTACGGAATGAGCACAGCTTATTTATTTAGAAATCGTCTTTTGTTTTGTATCTTTACTGTATCTTCCATCCGGAATTATCTGACTTCCTAGAAACCGAAAATCAGTGTTGGGTATGTTTGTGTATTTTGAGAAGTTTCACTTCATTAACGTGTTGTATAATTACACGTTGTATTTTTTTTTTATAAATAAAGTTTGGTGTTTGATTTTCGAAGTTATTTTTATTGATCACTTCGTGAACATTTGAGAAATTATACGCTCGTGTTTTCAGGGCAACATCAGCGACTTCTAATTTCTCGTCTCCCATCTTTATATTCACTCTTTCTCATAATATGGTCTTTTCTTATATGCAGGGTGTACATTGGCGGACTTGCCATAAGGCCCAGTAGGCGCGGGCCTAGGGCGGCCAGATATTAAGGGCGGCAAATCGTGCCAAAAAAATCACTGATAACAAATTCATGAATTATGTATCTAGTCTATAATGATGCGTGCTGAGAAAAGGGCGGCACATGGCCTGGGGCCTAAAGCGGATAGGACTGCAAATCCGCCACTGAGGGTGTAACAGAAATAATTGCCGAGCTTCTAAGTGTGTTAACTAAATCCTACAAACAATTGCACGGTGGGGTCAACATGGTGGTTAAGGCAACATTTTTTTATGAAAATCACAATAATTTAAGATTCGAAGCCGGTCCTGTACGTGAGTTGACATTATAGGGGTCTAGTGTAATAAAAACTAAACTACAGCTACATAGATGGAGAATTGTCGATTATCCAACGTCTTATCGTAAGATAAACAAACAATTTAGACTAAATAAATGGAATAACTACACTACGTAAATGTACAAACACGAAAAAACAATGTAAGTTACGTAAACATGAGTCGGTAAATAAGCATCATCCGGATAATTGTAATTTTATTAAAGCAAATAATTTACCAAAAAAATGAAATAAGTCTACAAAAGTTTCACACCACACATTTACCAAAATCGCAAAGGATATACCACAAACGAATTTGCCTAGCATCAGTAGTGATTATTGTGAAAATTCAAAATTCAATTCCGCGTAAAGCGAATTTGTCTGTAAACGGCACCATTTGGAAAACGACTAGGCTCAACAGCGCTTTTCTGTCGATACCACTAACAAAAGGTAAGCTGAAAATCAATTTCAAGTATGGTTTGTTGCAAATGATAAGGATGCATCAACTGCTCTTTTAAAGTAGAATGAAGATTCGGGCTATAGGGCCGTGGTCTAAGTGAGCTGTTGTGTCCAGACGTTTCGTCAGCTCATCCTCAGTGGTAGTGCTGCGTTGACAACGCGAACGTAGATTATATCTCCAAGTCTCGACAGCGTCTTCATTCTGCAATGGATTCCGGCCGTGAAAGCCTTTGCTCTTATATTGTTCTTTTAAAATTCGCCGCACTGTCTTCTATGAACTACAGGATTTTGTCTTTTACGACGGCGATATGTTTCGGACGTCTACGCTTACGATCCTGAAAAGTCTAGGGTGTACATTGCCGGCTTCTTGCAATGTCTGTACTGCATTTAAAGTGGTTCGCGAGTGTGCAAATTTTCGCTGAGGATTTTGATGAGTGTACAACTCAACTGTTGTATTAATATTGCATTTAACTTCGCTGTGCTACTACAGTATTGTTATAACAATGAGTGGCACATTGACTTAATTGCGAATGAGCGATTGACTTCGTCAGAAGGACAAAAAACTTTTACAGGCGGACGATAACACGGTGAACTATACTTAATCTAATCTGACAAATAACAAATAATTCATGAGTAAAAAAAGTACGAAAGAAATACAAAACCGACGTTGCTAATTCCCAGCTGATTGAAAGTGAAGTTGTATTGTCGTATTGATATACAGGGCCGTAATTGAATTTACCTGTACTTTCAACTGCATTTTTCTCGAAACCGGTGAACTTTCGGACATACAAACATTTACTTATCTTTCATGTTCTATAGTGCTCTATCAGCTCCTGCAAGCTCGGCGCTTATACGTTATATGACAAGGCTACATTAGGTGTATACATCGAAAGATGAGGATTAAAGAATAAAATTAAAACTGGACAAGCGTATTAAACATGATCATCAAAGGCAGCTGATTTATTGCGAAAATTAGTAAAATATAACAACCAAATTAGATTTAAGGGGAGTGTGGATATTTCTCTTTATTATGCTACCCATGATTTAATTCAGCATACACTTCACGTATGCGTATTAGGTGCTTCAATTTGATGAAGGAATTATCCAGATACCTTTGAATAACAATTGCATTATTAATACGATATTCAGTATCTGCGGAAGACATCATCACTGTAATGAGGAAGAAAACAGCTTGTGGCCTGATTCAAATGTCCGAATATTAGTACGATGTATGTTTGTATAAATAAAATACTAACACTACGCATAGCTTTTACTAATGCTAATGATAAATAAATGATAGATGCATTCAAAGTCATCTTAACTTGTCCTAGGTTATTCTTACGTGTTTCTACTTCACAATTTTGAATGAAATATATTGTAGCGACCATGAGCGTGATTGTGTGCGATCGGGCATACGTGTGTGTGAGCGGCTTATCGATTCGCCGACTAGCCGCGGGCGCTTTTCTTCATGTGCGCCGTATCTGTAAACGTGTGTGGCGTACCTGCGTTCCAGAAAAGCAATTAAACCGTTCAAAGAAACCGAGACTTCTCTGGACGGCTGGAGAACGTTCCCGGAAGGAGGCAAGGGAGTATAAAAAGGAAGAGGCGATCGCCGAAGGAGAGTAGAAATAAGCTGACCGTTGCAGAAGTGAATCGAGAAATAAATTGACAGTGATAGAAGTGAAATAAATAGCGCAGTGAATAGTAACAGTAGTGTAAATAAATAGAATAATTACCGAAGTTTAGTAATAATTTAATAGTGTTTTTAAGTTCAATAATAATTAGTGTAAATAAATAGTTTTCTTCATAAAAGTTAATTTGTTAAACCCACGAACATTACAATATGATAAATATTTATAATATACATATCTTACGCATGCATCTAACGCGCACTGTAATTAAACTTTGTTTATTAAATAAAATAAAAATACTGATAGGTGTGCAAAGGATGACGAAGAAGTAGCGAAAGAGCGAATATAAAGATAGGAGAAAAATTAGAAGAAGTAGCTGATTTTAAGTATCTAGGAAGTCAGATAAGATAGGACGGAAGGAGTAGTAGGGGCATGAAGGTCTGGTCAGGGAGATATTAGGAGCAGAAACAGGAGTTAAGAGAAGTAGAGGTAGACCTATATTAGATTACTGTTCGCAAATAGTTAAGGATATGGATTGTTTTAGCTTTAGGGAAATGCGAACATTAGCTCAGGATAGGAAAGAGTGGAGGTACGTGTCCAACCAGTCTTTGGACTGACGACCTTACGATGATGACTAATTTTATTGTTGTAAAACCATGTATCAAGCCAAAATCTGATAGATAGGTTAGCATATTTAGCGATCTATCTAAGCATTCTGAAAGACAAGGGCTTGCCTCCTCCGTCCAAGCTTTTCTACAATTTCGTTGGATAATTTATGTAAGTTCTGGGGACAGACAATTTTTACTCCTTTTCTTTTACCCTGACCACCACCCACCCATTCCAATGATTTCTAAAAAGAGTCTAAGGAGGACCGTCCACACTACCCTCCGAGTTTGCAGACGTTAGATTTGCTCGATTAAAGCGCGAATGCATAGAATAGGGTTTTAACAATTTTTAATCGAAAAATACACTTAAAGGAAACTTAAGGATGTAAGAATGAATTATACAGATTTAATACTGATAGGTATTTGTATATGTTTGTGTGAAATCAGCTTTCAGATTAGACATAGGGAGCAAAGATTAACATGCTAAGATTTGCAGATGATATAGCAATATTGACGTCTAGCGTTGGGCAGTTAGATAGCTTTGAACTGTAGGTATGGTATGAAAATTACTAAAAGTAAAACCAAAATATTGGCGTGTAAAGAATGTAAAAGCATCAAAGTATACCCTGAAAATGAAAACCTTCGAACGATTGTATAAATGGTAGACACCCACACCCCTTACGCTTGCATGTAGAAAAACGTACAAACCTGAAGTTTGGACCACTGAATTCTGCCTATACATCGAACAGCATTCCGCCATCCTAACTTTGCTCCATAAACAAGTTCTGTTTCCGTCAAGTGATACGTTCCTGTTACTGCAACTTCTTTTTGAACTTGCTCCCAACGGGAACGGTGAGAGGGAGTGTTGACTCTGAAATTAATAAACAAGTTTTTAATAAATATTCCTGTGTGATACTTTTCACAAAAAATATATTTTTCATAATATTCTTCATGTTAACTTGTTAAATTTTTAAGACGATAATGACCATTGTACTCTTACAATCAGTTCTTGAAGTTTCGTGTTTTTCCAATATTACACGCAGACTATAGCAAAAATTACAGGTTGGCTATAAAACTCTTAAATCTATCTACGTGTAGTAAAATTCTTCTAATTTCTTACGTATTTAACAGTTAATTGAATAAAATAATTCGAAATGGTCTGTATTCTGTCGAAAGTGACAGACGCGGATCGCGATTTCGATCATTTTGGATCTCATCAGCGCGTCACAGGCAGCTGTCTTAACAGTGCGTTTTAGAAAATACTACAAATGGCGCAACAAACGCCATCTGTAGCACGATATTACATTTTAGGATTACGTATGCTCCAACAAGGTCCACTTGTGTGGATATCTACTTGCTGAAAACGAATCCCGGCATAGCCAACCTCAACGTGATAGGCACGTTAGCTTAATCGAGTAAAATAATTTGAAATGGTCTGTATTCTGTCGAAACACGCTGATGAGATCCAAAAAGATCGAAATCGCGATCCGCGTCTGGCAGTTTCGACAGAATACAGACCATTTCCAATTATTTTATTCGATTAAGATAAAGTGCCTATCACGTTGAGGTTGGCTACGCCGGGATTCGTTTTCAGTAAGTAGATATCCACACAAATGGACCTTCTTGGAGCATACGTAATCCTAAAATGTAGCATCGTGTTACAGATGGCGTTTGCTGCGCCATTTGTGGTACTTTCTAAAACAGTTAATTGTTTTCTGAAACAGATAAGCACATTATGTACATACGTTCATAGTAAAATTAATATGTACCTTGTGGGTCTGTAATATTTATGTAGACATAAGCTACAAGAAAATACAACAAAGTTCATATAGTGGTCAATATTCTACCAAAACCGTCAGGCATAGATCGCAATTTCGACCTCCTTGGGCGACCTCAGCACATCGTAGATAAATCCGACAGAATACCCACCAACTTCACCTACTGGCTTAAGACAGTGCTTTATGAATCACTACAGATAGCCTAATGAACTGGATCTGTAGAATATTGACATGGTTTGTGACTTTCAAAAATATTCGACAAGGTCTATAAGGATATGCAAGAACTCTTTCAATGTATAATGTATCAAATACTTACACCTGAATGTAAAAGACAATTAAAGACAGCATGCTTGGAAATATTTCAAGAATTCATTTGTTTAGACTAGGATAACACTTCTGGTGGACTCGTTCCATCCCCAGATTACCTATGTAGCTACGGGAATGCTTTGTAAATACATACATATACTATATAGTTTGAACTATTCCGCTCCCTGTTTCTTAAACTTAATCAGGGTAGTGTATTAAAGACACTGAATGCGTGCAGTGTTGTTTTCAGAAAAGCGTCGAGTTTATTCACTGAGCGTTCTGCCTTTTATATTTGTCTAACTTTTGAATCACTTGCTAAATGAACATTTTGCACGATTAATATTTTTGATAAATAATTATCCGATGTTGATAATTCGTAGGGATAAGGCTTTTGTGTAGGTACTTGGAGAAATTACGATGCAAGTTCGCCCTTTGTGATAGATTTCCCATTAAGGTAGCTGTAGAGGTCACACTGCGAGTTTGCCCTTTGTGACCATTGTACTCCTCAGTACCGATCATGCCAAGTAAATGATCAAACACTAGTATCTGAAAAGCGCACATCGCGAGTTAAGTCCTTTGTGCTCATTATTAATTTGAAATCATTTTTTCGATTTTTTATTTACCCACTACAAACTACCTCAAATTAATGAGGGAAAAATTGTTGTTGTTGTCACACCCCCTCCGGGAATCGAACCCGGGACCTTTGGCTTTACGCACCAATGTTCTACCACTAAACTACGAAAGGTGACAACAGCAACCACGACTAATCGACCCACAAGGTTAACGATCCATCGATTTACCTTGTATTAATTACGATTAACCTTGTAGGTCGGTTGGTCGTAGTTGCTGTTGTCACCTCTCGTAGTTTAGTGATAGAACATTGGTGCGTAAAGCCAAAGGTCCCGGGTTCGATTCCCGGTGGGGGTGTGACAACAGCAACAATTTTTCCCTCATTAATTTGAGGTAGTTTGTAGTGGGTAAATAAAAAATCGAAAAAACTATTTCAAATTAATATTGCATATTAATCTACTATTAAGTAACTAACAATGTCATAGGATTGCTTTATGCTCATTGCACATCTTAGTACTAGTTGTAATATAGTATGAACAAGTAATACCGGCGCATTGCGAGTTACAGCCCTTTGCATCTAAGGGTGGTACTGGAGCCGACATAATGCTAGTGCGCCCTTTATGCCCACTGCATGTCTCAGTATCATTCCTCAGTAACTGTCAGGGCCAGAATTGAATTTACCTGTAATTTCAACTACGTATTCATCGAAAACGGTAAACTTTCGGGCATACAAACTTTTACTTAATTTTCATGTTTTGTAGTACACCATCACCTCCTGCAAGCTGAGCACTAATTCCTGTTACACCCTATATAAGAACTTTGTTGTTGTGTTTGTTTTGGCATCTATCACGTAGGGGTATATACAGTTCAACACCGAGCGGCATGACCTAGAGCAGCGGTCGGGGAACCGGGGTAAATTATCCCAAATGGGGTAAAAATGAAATTTTTGGGGGTTAAAATGAAACTTTTGTGCGTAAAAAGTACATATTTTTAATTTGCTATTTTATACGAGGGTGGATTGATAAGTTTCCGGCCTAACCAAGAGATGACGCCACTAGGCCTACCTTGAGGTGACATTCTATAGTACCATCCTTGGATAGCTTGTAGCTATAGTTTCAGCCCGATCTCCTTGCTAGTGTAGGTTTGACAGCACGCTGAACAAGACGCCTCTGTGGTTTTCGTAAAAATGGAAAAGCAGGAAAATCGTGCTGTCATCAAATACTTTTATTTGAAGGGGTTAACGCCGAAGGAAATTAAAAAAGAGATGGACTCAACACTGGGGACATCCTCCCCGTCATATTCAACCGTTAAGCAGTGGGTTTCCGAGTTTAAAAAGGGTCGTGTGAGCACCTCTGATGGGCCTCGCTCAGGACGCCCCGTTGAGGTCACAACTCCAGATATGATCGAAAAAATTCATCAAATAGTGCTGGGAGACCGCAGATTGAAAGTGCGTGAGATAGCTGAGACCTGTAAGATGTCATATGAACGTGTGCAACATATTTTGCACCAACATTTGCATATGGAAAAGCTCTGTGCAAGATGGGTGCCGCGTTTGCTAACAGTCGACCAAAAATTGATTCGAAAAAACATTTCTACCGCAAATTTGTCATTGTATAAGCGTAATCCAAGCGAATTTTTGCGTCGATTCGTAACCGTTGACGAAACGTGGGTCCACCACTACACTCCTGAAACCAAAGAACAGTCTAAACAGTGGATTGGACCAGGGGAACCAACTCCAAAGAAGGCAAAAACAATTTTTTCGGCGAACAAGGTTATGGCTACTGTTTTTTGGGATGCAAGAGGTATTATATACATTGATTACCTTGCAAAGGGTAATACTATCACTGGTCAATACTACGCAGACTTATTGCAACGTTTGAGCCACGAGGTGAAAATTAAACGACCTCATCTGGCGAAGAAAAAAATCTTGTTTCATCACGATAACGCACCAGCGCACACGTCAATCGTTGCGACGGCTAAAATCAACGATCTAAAGTTTGAATTGATGCCGCACCCTCCTTACTCTCCAGACCTAGCCCCGAGTGACTATTTTCTGTTCCCTAATCTCAAAAAATGGCTTGGCGGTAAGAGATTTGCGGACAATGAAGAAGTAATCGAAGCTGTAAATGGTTATTTTGAGGAGCTTGACGAATCAGTCTATAGAGATGGCATTAATAGACTGGAACACCGCTATGAGAAATGTATCAGCCTTGGAGGAGATTATGTTGAGAAATAAAAAAAAAAAATTTTTAAAAACCTTGTTTTTCTTGGTCAGGCCGGAAACTTATCAATCCACCCTCGTAAACCTGTTAGTAGTTTTTTCAACTTAAACAATTTAGCGACATATGCAGGCCACGCCATCTCACTCCCCACCACTAAGTATTGTTTTCTTTTCAAAATTATCATGGGGGCTATAATATAAAAGATGCTAAAAAGAGGCGATTTTCGTTTTCTTTTGCTCTACGCCATGGGATAATATCAACTTACACAAAAATATTTTGGGGTAATGATTAAAAAAATTCCCCGACCGCTGACCTAAAGGTTTAAACTACTGCTTAACATTTGGGAGGACGTCGGTTCTATTCCGGGTTTGTCTGCCTTGGTTCAAGTTTTTCTATGGTTTCCTTGGATCACTTAGGCAGATGCTGGGGCAGTAATATTCCGCAGATAATATTTCATTCTCTTCTGTCTTTATTTTTTTCACCCACTCCCACGATTCCTGAATAGAAGCTGAAGAGGGCCTTCCGCCCTACCTTCCGGCTTAGTCCGGAGGGACTGCTCGCCCACCAGCTTTAGTGGCTGGAGGGAACGAAACCCTCAAAAGTTTTGCAGTTCGACAAGTCGATATCCCTATGGCCTTATCGAATAATTTTATTTATAGTGGCAATATTCTGTATAGATGACGTTATTTTGTTTACTCCAATAGATAACTTGCTACTGGGTTGTTGGCTTGATGGGTACTCGCTGTGTTTGCTAATAAATTGCTTATTACGTTGGATTATGTTTTACATATTAATGAGATCGAGTGGACTTGACGAGCGAATAAAATTTTTTTAAATGAAAAACTCGAACAATCGGGAAAGAGATACAATATTTTTTAATTCGAAAGAGACCTAGCAGTGAACGAAAATTTGATCAGACATTAGCGACAGCTACATATTCGCATATCTGTAATAGGCACCTATCGGTGTAGCAACAAACAGACAAAGTGGAAGAG